CCTCTTTCCATGTAGTAGATTTACCTTTTGTAATCTCTACAATTACTGTTTGGGTTTTAGTCAATAAAATTTAATTGCTACTGAAATTGTTTCAGGAAGAGATTGAGGAATATAGTTCAGAGAATACTTTGCTTTTTTATTTCATTGGCTATAGCTCTAATGACCAGGAATTTCTGGTCCTGGGATTCATAACCCAGTAGAATAAATACCTTGTGAGCCACAAGTTTATTGCACACCTAGGAACATTTCCCAGACTGATCTGAAACTGAAACCTGGTTGTACTGTGAAACTCCAAGGATCCCAAACCCTGTTAGAGTAAATTAACACTTCGGTTTTAAACATGGCTTTGCAATGAGTGTTTCTGTAGAAATTAGTTTTCTAGGTCGCTATTCCATTACACAGTGCCCTCCTTATAAGAGCCCAAGGGACAGATTTCTCTCTGATTTCGGAATGGGAAATGTGTGCTGCTTTTTAGAACTTGGAATGGTTTGTGGTAGATCTTTCTCCAGACTATGTGGACTGTATAGGTGAGAGCATTTCCTTCTTTGCATTACCCACTCACCAATTTAATGCCACTTCCACGCCCCATCTCCAGCAAGTGCATAGATCCTTCTGGTGTGAATTTCAGCTGATAACTTCACAGTGGCTTTGCCTTAACTTTCTTAGTTCTATATACATTCATTTCTGCTTCCTTATTCAAATATCATATATTTATTTGGTTCTACTTAAGATACTTATTTAAGCTGCCTTGCATGCTTTATAGAACCTCAAAGAGAGTAAATAAATAAATAAGTGCAAATTTCCCAAGAAAGCTATAGTTTAATTTTCTTCAATGCTTTTTGAAAAATGTCTCAGTTTCATCTAATTTGATGGAACTCAGTTTTTGATTTCAGGTCCTGAGGCTGAATTAATCACACTTCTGAATGGTTCATTAGCTTCTTTGGTCCAACAAGAACCCTCTCATTTTCTTTCTTTCTGCCCCTTTATTCCCCTCCTATTCCTCTGCTCCCCAGGGCAACCATTCCAACCATGTCCTTTGTTGGCAAGGGTTCTTATAAAATATATAGGTTTAAATAAATGGGACTTAACTATATGCAAATAGTGCTGTTATAAACCTCAATCTGTTTCTTTTTCATCCAGCACTGTTTTTAAGACCCATGTTTTCTTCCTATGAGTAAAATTTTAAGATCCATGTTTTTTTGCTAGTCTGTCACTTAACTCTGCTGAGTAGAATGAACCCAATACATTTTGCCTCTTCATTCCAAAAACCTCCTCTCTCTTCTTCCCCACCCCAAGTATGCTGCAATGACCAGCTTCATATGCAGAGTGAACATTTTTGAGAATGAATGGATGACATTCATAATTACACTAGGACAACAGCGGTATACTATGATTGTCACAAACAAACTGGGACACCTCATCATCTGACTTATATAGGACACCTACAAATTCTGAGAATTCCTTTGTAGCTGGGAATGGATTTGGCTTGCTGTTTCAGAAAGTAGTCATAGAGTTAATTTTCTATTATACAAATGTCCTCTGCAGAATTTCTGTACCAATCAATAATCCCATCAACAGTGCATAAGGGTTCTCATAGTCCCAGATCATTCATTAACACTTGGCATTACCCAGCTTCATAAATGTTGCCAGTCTAGTACATGTAAAATGATATCTCATTGTTAATTTATTTTGCATTTTCTGTTGGATTTGAACATCTCTTCATATTCTTGCTAATTTCTTGAATTTCCTCTTCTCTGAGGTTTAATTCTTATCTTTTGCCCATTTTCCATTGTCATATCTATCTCTTTTTATTGATGTTTAGGAGATGTTACTTTTTCTAAAGTAAGTATACATTTTCTTGTCTTCTTAAATAGTACATAATGACTATGACTGTTTCTCTGAAGAATAGGGTCACATGAGAAGTAACAATGCTTGATTATAAGATGCTAAAGAACCTTGAGTTCAATGTACATAAACCAATCAACATCTAAGAACCATCTTCACATTTATTTATTTGTATATTTCTCCTAAGACACAAAGAAAGACAGTCAACTATAAGATGCACTAGACAGAGTTAAGATGCCTGTCTTTGCAGAAAATTACTGAGTCACCAGTTAAAGAAGCCACGTCCCAAATGACTTCCTCAGACTCTAGCAAATCTCTTTTTTAAAAATTATAGCTATCAGTGTCATTTGTCTTAGCAGCATATTCCAAAACGACACAAACAATAGATCATGGGTACTGCCAGTCAACCTTTTCTCTCATTTTTATATAATTCACCTCGCTTATTCAAGGATATGGGGGAGGCTTATCTGTCATCATTGATGAGTTTGGAAGTTCAGTAGAAGGTTTGCTTGAAAACTTAGAAATTCTTCATCCTCCAGGAAAGATGTCACTTCTGAAGATATGTTATTGGAATACAGATAAAAAATAAGTTTTAATTCACAAAACATCAACTAAATTGGAAACAGTTGCCTGAAATATTGTGTGGAGAAAACTTTGGAGGCCGAGTAGGATCTTGGTAGTTAAATATTTTGATGGATTAGTAATGTCTGCAACAGCCCTGGTGAAGGGTCTAGGTAGGCTGTGTGTTTACCAGCTCAATCTGAATAGACTCTCACAGTGCTTTAATGTCTGACTATGAAATAAACAAACAAACAAACTCCTGGCATAAGTATGTTTCAAAAATTAATCTTGAATGTTATGTCTGAAACCTTAGTATATTATTTACAAGATAGAGAAAAACTGTTTCATATCACCTCTTAGCTTCATTTCTGTTCTGGAAAATGCTTGGTTAATAGTAAAACACAGAGTCCCCATTTTATAGATAAGGCCACTGGGGCCCCAAGAAATTAGGCAGCCTTTCCAAGGTCTTAGAGTCAGTAAGTGAGGATTCAAATCCAGATGTCTCACACTATATGATAACCAGTCTTAAAGACTGCATCAGTTTGATGCTTGCAAATATATATATATATATATATATATATATATATATATATATATATATGGCAAATACCTCATCAGGAATTAGTGCTGTTTTTCAGAGTGACTTACCTTTTAAAATGGTTCCCAGCTCATAATACTGAAGTGGAAATTAAGAAGAAAATATGTAGAACTAATCAGAAACAAAACAACTGTTGCTTATCCATTGATATAGTGTATAGTTTGAATTTTGAATGTCCCCCAAATGTCCATGTGTTAAAGTCTCGGTCAACAGCCTAAGGCACTATTGGGAGGTAATGGAACCTTTAAGAGGTGGGGCCTAGTGGAAGGAAGTTAGGTCATTGGGGGCATGTCCTAGAAGGTGATATTGGGATTCCTGTTTCCTCCTTTCTTCCTGGCTACTATGAGTGAGAAGCTTTGTCCTCCTTATGCTCCCTATCCTGGTGTTCTGCCTCATCACAGACCCAAATGTAGTGGAGCCAACCAACCATTGACTGAAACCTCTGCAACTGTGAGCTACAATAACCTTTCCCTCCTTTAGGTTGACTCTCTCAGGTATTTTTTCAGTGATGGAAAACTTACTAACACATCTATCCATGTGTTTCTGTAACAATCAGAATGTTTATCATGCCATTTTTCTGCAGACAGTTTTACATGGATTAACCATTTAGTCATCCAAACAATTCTATGAAGCAAGTATTTCTATTGTATGCATGAAGAAATGGGACAGAGAAGCAAAGTAACTTAAACATGTCCCCAGATCATACAATTGATGAGTTGATGGAGCTAAGATCCCATCCTGGGTATTCTGTCCCTAAAACCCAAGTTTTAAATCCACTGGTCCTCTTTATTCAACATTTACAAACTTTCACTTTGGTTTCACTCTGGGTTAGACATAGGTAAAAATTATAAACTCTTTAACTTCTTACCTCGCTGAGTACTTGGAAGCATAAAAACTTTCTGTGTGACACTTGGAATGTGTTATAAAAATAAATTAGTTCCTTCATTTCTATAAAATGGTTCAGGATATAAAATGTGCTCGGAAATCAGGGATTTTTTTCTCTTTATTTCCGCTGAGTTCTTTTGCAGCTTCATGATTTCCACTTTTTTTATACTTCTTTTCCAATATAATGACCTTCTTTTATACCATCATCAATTTCCCTAGGGATAAAACACACATGATTCAAATTTACCTTTGTTGCTCTTAAAAACCTTTGTCTTCAATTACTAATAGGCCAAAGATGCTGAGGGACCTGTGATTTTTCCACCTGGGGGAAATTTTTCATAGGTTCTGTAGGATATTTGGGGGATGATGGTGCTAATTATTTTGCTGCATGTGTGTATGGCTTTGGCAAATCATATAACCCCAAATATCTTGATCACTTCCTACAAATCTGTAGGGAACTAACTGTAAGTTGCCACAATAAACTTCACTAGAAATTATTTATAATGCCTAATTAAATATCACTTGGCAGAATTTTATGGAATGGAGCTTATTGCTTGACTATTCTCTCTATCAGACTTCAAATCTTCAAGTTTCCAAACCTTCTGGAGAACCCTCTTGAATTTATGATGAAAAACCAATGACTCTATAGAAGCAAAAACCAATGACTCTACAGACTAGAATTGAGCTCACCAAGTGAGTTGAGGCTGGCAGTGGCTTAGTTCCCCACCCACTGCACTGCCAGCCTCAACTCACTTGGTGAGCTCAATTCTAGTCTGTCTGCAGGATATACTTCCTTAAGCTTCAAATACATAAATGATTTTTCCCTCTTCCCCATTGTACAATTTCTTTAACCTCTTTTTCTCTTTGCTGTTGTATTAATTTTTTACTGTTATTATAATATCTGCTATTTATAACTTTCATGGCCACTCTGTTCTATCTGGCACTGCCATTCACATTTTTCCCACTTTTTCTTCTTTCTCCATTTCCTGTTGCTCCTCTCCCACTTCTTGACTGGGGCTGAACACAACATCCATTCAAGTGGTGATTCTCAATTTGGCCCTTTGGAATGGGTACCTCCCCCCACACATATTTAGCTGACAATCCCCTGAAATTTCATAACAACTTGGGTTTGTGTGTGAGTCCACTTGTACAAGTGCATGCACTTTTCCAGGGAAAAGACTTTGGCAAACCCTATGGATTACCTACCCCCAAGTGGTTCACAGTTACCCATGCCCTTGACTTCCATTGCCAAAGAAGATGAAACCTAAAATTTTCAATTTCTCAGCTTCCTTTGACTTTACCAATGGAAAGGAAGACATCTTCTTGAATAAAAAGCAAAGCCTTGGTAGATGAAAACAATTGTCTTGAACCTACTCCCATTATTCCTGTTTGAAATATGAGTGTAATATATATATATATTTGCAGCAGCCATATTACAGACTTGAGGCTGGTGCCTGCCCATGAGGGCAGAAGAACAGAGTTGGAAATAGCTTCAATTCCTGGAATCACTGTTCCACTTCAGGACTCTCTACCTCCAGACTTATTTTTCCATATTATGAAACACACACACACACACACACACACACACACACACACACACTCTTGATAAGAAGTAAAGGTATAGCTGGGCACAGTGCTACATGCCTGAAATCCCAGCATCTTGGGGGGCTCAGGGCAGGAGGATCGCGAGTTCAAAGCCAGTCTCAGCAAAAGCAAGGCACTAAGCAACTAACGAGACCCTGTCTCTAAATAAAATACAAAATAGGGCTGGGGATGTGGCTCAGTGGCCAGTGCCTTTAAGTTCAATCCCCCATACCAAAAAAAAAAGTAAACGCATTAACATAAACTCTAAAATTTTCTTCTCATTCCCTAATGTACTTTGCGTATGGCTTAGGGGCAATCATCTCATTTCAGACACCTTTGCTAAATAACTAAGGAATTACTATTAATGGAAATCAGCAAACTTAAACAGCATAAATGAAATGGGTATGTGGAGAGAGAGAATACTCAGAAGTTACTATCAGGACAATGGTGTGAGGTCATTTTTAGTTTATATGTAAATGACTGAAAGAACATGCATAGAATGTTAATGATGGTGGTCTTTAAACTAGTGTGTTCATAACTTTCTGCATTAGTCATGTATTAATTTGCAATTAGAAGAAAAAGAAAAAAATGTTATTTTAAATAGCCTAATAGTTCAAGACAGGCCTTCCTCCCCAACATCACAAACTTACTTTTTCCTTTAAGATGCCCTGGTTGCAGTGGTAAATGTCTCTCTGTTTTGAACAAAGATGCTTCTTGTTGGGCCTGGCCCGTGGTGACAGCCAGGTAGGTGTGGTGGTGAGGACAAAGGATGACGCTCCCTTCAGGTGGTCTCCAGGCTGCTGTGTGGAAGAGAAGTTTGGAGTGGAGAAAATGAACTCTCTGTGGAATGTTGCTGATGGTCCCTCCCTCATGTCAGTGGACTTCTGCCTTGTCTCAATGCCCTTATCACAAAACATCCCTAATTCTGATCCCTGCCAAAGAATGGCAGGCCATTAGCTCTGATGCATCCTCTACCCCACTTCTGCCTTTTCAGAGATGGGGAAGCCAAGCTCAAGGGTATGTCCAAGATCAAAGTCAATAGTCGCAGGGTGGACACCAGAACCCAACTACCCACTTACTACTACCACATCACTACCTATCCACTGTCATGCACATGGTGAGCATGGTGCTGGGTGCTGCCCATGTGGACTCTCATCCTTGTAAAAACCTATCAGTTGGTGTTGTCATCCCTATTTTAAAGCTGAAGAAAATAAGGCTCACACAAATCACGTGATTTTTCCAAGGCTAGGAAAAGGAGAATTTGGCATTGGCTCTGTCTGGCTTCCAAATTTAGGTTTTTCCATAACTTCAGCTACTCAGCACAGTTTGTCTAATCCGGCATGGATGTGCCTATGCAACATTTTCTCATAATTCCTCCATAGGTGTCTTTAGCCTGGAACCTCAGAAAATCCATTTCAGTGCCACATTCCTCTCCCCTTCCATGTAGGAAATGCTTCCTGAAAGAGCCTGTTCTCCCAGCAGCTGGTGATATTTGATTTGATTAACACCCTGGGACCTATCACCAGATTTAAAGATGATGCCTAATTAATTGCTTACATTAAAGAGCTGGCACTTTCTGCATTTGGTTCATACTTCCAGCCTCAATCATGTTTTTATTTCAGCAATAATATTTACATGATTAGCAAATAGTCAGTTCATACTCTGATGTGGACCTAAGCTGTGTGTGGGGCTTCCCAAAGCAGATGTCCTTGACAGGTGTAAAGAAATAGGTTTACTTTTCCTAGCAAGAGCCAGGAGTAGGATCTGCTTGTTTTTCAATGAAAAATTGTGCTTGGATCAAAAAAAATATTAATTGGGCATTCTCATATTCCATGGGCCAGACATTGCAAAGGCCCTATTGAGGCAAAAAACAATAACAACATCAAAAAAACACACCAAAAAAATAGTGAATTATTGAAGTCATATTAGACTAACTCTATTTTTAATCTATTTTCTCTTCTAATCTAATCTATTTATTAGGATCTAGATGCATAAATTAGGAAAAGGCTTTCTATATTTGACAGCTGAAGTTTCAAAAGGCATTTGCTAAATATTCCAAAATATTTTCAGGCAAAAGCCAGAAATGTGAGGCCTGGATGATCCTGAAATTGAATCTGTGATATTAAATGACCTTTATGATGTGAAAAACTGGAAAGAGGCAAAGAACTACAAGATTATTCCATGTAATATTCTAAATCAATAATTTTGATGGTGATACAGAAAAGCAAGGTTCTCTCTTTTGATAACCAAAACTGAAAGGAGTTTCAGCATTTTGGATAACGAAGTTCTGGACCGATGACAATGGCTTGAATCCCAACATCATGAAATTTAGTAGGAATAGATGCCAAAGAACAACCAGCTCAAGTACTCCATGGGGAAGATGTGGATTTGTGTCCTCAGTGTGAAGAAGATTTGAGGACAGCAATCACCACAAGCCTAACATGAGGCAACCATGTGTATGTGGACCAAGTCATGACACATTTATTTGGCTGTGCTTGTATAAAGTAGAGTCAGGCAGTAAGACCTCTCCTCTAGTAGTTGCTCTTCAGACACTCCTCAGATATTGCACTCAATCCAATTCCAAGTAGGTTGACCACGTAGGGTGTTTTTCTAATCAGAAGTCTTTTGAGAAGGGATGCTAGTGAGAATTAAACTTAGAAAATAGCCAAAAACTAAGACTTGTGGACAAATAAGAATTGTATTCGCTAGTTATAAAGAATAGAGACGAATAGAGACTGGAGGATATTCAGAAGAGAGACTCAAGGATGGGAAGAGCCTCCAGGAAATAAATTATGAATTTTTTTTTTTTAGAGAGAGAGAGAGAATTTTATTTATTTTTTAGTTTTCCGCAGACACACATCTTTGTATGTGGTGCTGAGGATCAAGCCTGGGCTGCACACATGCCAGGGGAGTGCGCTACCGCTTGAGCCACATCCCCAGCCCTAGATTATGAATCTTTGAAGAATGGGATGTTTGGTTTGGAGAAGAGCAACCTGAGGTCAATTTGAGAGCTTTTTTTTTTTTGACATATTCAAAAGTAGCATGTGGAAGACGCATGGTACCTGTAGATCGATATAGTTTGGATATGAGGAATCCCTCAAAAGCTCCTGTATTAATGCAGGATTTTTCAGAGTTGAAATCATTAGATCATGACAGCTATAACCTCATCAATGTATTAATTCATTTCATGAATTAACCATTTGAAGGACGACTACACTGGGTGATGATTGTGAGCAGATGGGACATAGCTGAAAGAAGCAGGTCACTGGAAGTGTGTGGCATTTTGGATTACATATTGTCCTCCTTCTCTCTCTCTCTGTTTCCTGGCCACCATGATCTGAATAGCTTTCCTCCTCCATGCCCTTACACCATGATCTTCTGTCTCATCTCCAGCCTTGAACAGTCGAGTTGGTCATCTATGAACTGAATCTCTGAAACAATGAGCCAAAATAGATTTTTCTTCCTTTGTTTTTGTCAGGTATTTTGGTCATATTGACAAAAATCTTACTAACACATGGATTGTGGTTCTTGCGGTATACTCTAAGGCATCTGGGTCTTGATAAAATGACTACTTCTCAGAAGAACTCTTGCCCAAGAACAGGAGAATGACAAAAGCTGACCACCTAGATGTTATAATGCCAAAGAGCCATTTGGAGTGCTTAAGCCAAAACTTCAAATTGTCTCATTGTCTTTCTCCCTTGCCATCCATTTCCACTTCAATGGTGATTCTTTTTTGTTGTTATTCTAATTGTCCCCAGGATGGACCTTGTGAAAGTCTTTTGAAAGCTTACCCATCAGTTCATGTTCATTTCCTACATAGGTCTTCAAAAATAGAAATGATTCCTTCTTAATTATATAATGATTTTTCTCTCTGTTTTTCAGGTCTCAGAAGCTAGGCTTCATGGAAGTTATATACACACAAATCTGTGATTCATTGGGCCCTCTCAATAGTTTTGCATATATTTATCAATTTTAATTGGCAATCATTTACCAATAATGGGGTTCTATTTGGAGTTGAAAATCTTCAATATTCTCCTTTGCAAAAACAATACAAATGCCATATTACCCTGAACTGAAGACCTCATTGGTCTGCACTTGAGAAGACTGAGACTATTAGAACAGTGAGAGCTCTAGTGAAAGTACCAAGCAATATACCCCTAAGAGAAAAAAAAATGCTTCCAATTATATTGTACCCCAAACTTCTTCACATCTAGAGTTCAACTCTTCTGAGTCACTTTTCATTTCAGAATTGGCATATTTGTTCTCATTTTTCATATGATATTGGAATTTGTGTCATCAAGTACTTTAAGAACTCTGCATTTTTTTCAAAAGGATTCCACTATTACCTCCAGAATTTTCTTCTAAGAAACTAACAATCAGTAAGCTTTGATGGTGTTACTTTCTTTTCTTTTTTAATCTAACCAGCAGATGACAACAGTAGATTCTCAAACAATTAGGATTTTTCTTTTACCCATAAATTCTTTGTCCACTGAAACTTTGAGTAGTTGGAGTTATCCAGTAATGCCACCATAATAACAAAAGTTGCTCTGTGTAAGCAATGACAATTATGTCCCAATGGCACCAGGCCAACAGATAACTGGAATGTTAAAATGTCATCTATAAAATTGATGTGTTAGAAAATATGGCAAGTTCTTTTGTGTATCTGCCATTGTGTCCTAGGCTATACCCTTTATCCAATAATGCCAGCACTGCTTTCTCAGTTGGCTATGACAGTCTCTCCTGGCTCCTCTTTACTTTACCTGAGTCTTCCCAAGTATTCTACTTGATTGTCCTTTTCTCCATTCTACACACAACTTACTCTACTTTGTAAAAATTCCTAGTCATTTCAGTTCAGCTGCTTTTCCATTTTATGGCCATCAACTTATTGAAAGCAAAGCAAAATATAAAAGGTCAATCAAGATTTTGCATCTTAAAAGACATACTACACCTCTCATTCACTTTATTAAGAAGAACTGTACAGATTTACAGTCAAGAGGTAGTTCTTCATATTATGAGACTGACGCGCTGCCTACTGCGCTAAGGAGGCAACCTAAGAGGTAGTTCTTAACTCTCGCTGTGAAGTAAAATAATTTGTACAGACTTTTAAAAATGTGGATTCCAGTGTGCTACCCTAAGATCCACTGACAATGACTATCCAGTTGCAGGGTGGGGTATGAGGGGAGTAGGCACTTGTGTTGTTCAGAGTTCCACAGATTAATGTGACATGTCATCTAAGTTGCAAACCATCAAATGACATCAGGAATTTTCTGTTTCATCAAGGGAAAACTCAGTAGGCATACACTAATGCAAATTTGTAATGAAAAGGCCCAACTCTAAGTGTACCACAGAAAATTATACACAGGAACTGATGACAATTTTGTTCAACCACTGTGTTCACACCATCCTGTACTGAACATGATTAACTAAGTGAAGGACATTGTGATGACTATGCAAGGGGTAGATATGTGAAAGTGAGGCAGAAAACAAGGATGGGATTTCCTTTTTCCCACTCATCCAATGTCCCAAAGGGTGCTTGGTCTGAGGCCACAGAGAAGGTAATCTGCATTATCCAACCACCAGTTTACAGATCAGTTTCAGGGGCAAGATGAGCTGAAGCATAATTAAAAAATGGTTTCCAGGAATGGGATATTCTACAGACTTAGAGCAAAAGGTTGTACTCATGAAAACTCAAACTCAGAAAATTTGCAAACCCCTACATAAAAGAGCTCAGGGATTGACTTTTATGACTACAGAACTCTCTGACATTTTCTCCTAGTTATCTTCACTTTTAGCAATTTTT